TCAAGCGATCCTCCTACTTCAGCCTCCTGAGTAGCTGGGACTACAGGCTTTCATCACCATGCCTGGCTAACTTCTATTTTGTAGAAATGGGGGATCTTGCTGTATTGCCCAGACTGGTCTTGAACTCCTGGCCTCAGGCAGTTCTCCCACCTCAGCCTCCCAAGTAGCCACTTACAATCGTGAGCCACTTCACTGGGCATCCTTTTCACTTTTTAAATGTTCTTCAGTTTTCCAGGTGCAAATTCTTTCAGTCCAGTGGGAAGTGAGTATTTCCACACATTTACTCACATCCTGCCCACCCGCCACTGGAGCCTGGCTTGCCTTTGGAGATTCCAGTGCCTGGCTTGTCTGTGGAAGAACTGCTACTGGGTCCCTCTGTGCCTGTGTCCCCATCCCGCCTCCCACACGCCACTCCTGGGCCTTTCTGCCTCCCTCAGCTGGGCCCGCCCTGCCACTTGCTCTCCTTTGAGTGCTCACCCAGTTCCCATGGGACTTCAGGGCCTCTGCATTGGCTTCTCTTCTCCCTGATTTTCTTGGCTTTTGGGTCCTTCCCCTCCCACACCCTTCATCTCCTGAGGCCCCCAGACCCAGAGAGCATACAGCACACCCTGCCATTATCTGTCCCGGTGTGTGTATGTGGGTGTGGGTGTGTGTGTATGTGTGTGAAAGAGAGAGAGAGAGAGACTCACTCTGTCACCCAGGCTGGAGTGCAGTGCCACAATCTTAGCTCATTGCAGCCTGGACCTCCTGGGCTCAAGTGATCCTCTTGCCTTGGCCTCCCAAACTGCTGGGATTACAGGTGTGAGTGACCACACCCAGCCTTCATTTTTGTTAGATTTTGCTTGTAACAAAACTGCCTCCTCCTTCCTTCTCTGAAATAATCACCTTCTTAAGGTCCCGAGAATAAAAATCTCCCCTGTCTTCTCCTCAGGCCCCTTGTGCAAGGTCTTTGAGTGAGAGGGTCCATCCATCATCAGCATTAGTACCAGGCCCTTGTCCTCCGCCTCCAGCCCCATCCCTTCCCTCCTTTCCTCCCCCTCCTCCTGGCAGAAGCCCCCACAGGCCTTGAACAAATCTGCAGAAGACGCCTGGGCGGGTGCGGCCATTCTCTGTGTGACAGTTGCAGGCAGCCCAAAGCCTGGCTTTCCTCTTCGGACGTGGGGAACCCCCAGTGCCCTCTGATTTTCTGCACCACCTGGCCTGCTGGAATGCAGGTGGCTGAACTCTTTCTGTTTTGGGAAAAACGGCAGAAATACTGGTCCCCACTCCTGTGATTTGAGGTCATTTTCCTCCTTGTACTTTCCTAGCTGACTGCTTCCCTCATCTGCTGTGGCATCCTGTTTCTCATGTGACTGTCTCGGTCATCTGTGTGTTTTTTTTTTTTTTTTTTTTTTGAGTCTTGCTCTGTCACCCAAGCTGGAGTGCAGTGGTGCAGTCTTGGCTCACTGCAACCTCTGCCTCCTGGGTTCAAGTGATTCTCCTGCCTCAGTCTCCCGAGCAGCAGGGATTACAGGCACCTGCCACCACGGCCAGCTAATTTTTGTATTTTTAATAGAGACGGGGTACGGGGTTTTACCATGTTGGCCACGCTGGTCTCAAACTCCTGACCTCAGGTGATCTGACCACCTTGGCCTCCCAAAGTGCTGGGATTACAGGCATGAGCCACCGTGCCTGGCCAATCCACATATTTATTCCTCAGGAGTGCTGGGATACACAGGGCAGAACAGTGGGCAACACAGAGCTTCTCTAATCCTCACAACACTGAGGTTCAGAGGCTGAGTGACTGCCCGGGAGTTCACAGCCCGGCAGAGAGGGGCAGGCAGAGAGGTCTCTAGGCATACACAGGGGAAGGCAAGGCAGGACCTGTCAGTTCTACTTTACCTGGATGTGTGCTGGTCCCTGATCAGTTTCCTTCCCCAGGCCCGAAAGTGGCCCGAGTCTGAGCTGGCCGGGTGCCTTGTACAGATGGAGAGACGGGGACCCAAAGGGGGTGAGTCGCGCAGCTAGAGCCAGGCCCCCGCAGAGTGTCTGCGGGCCCCTCTGCCTCTGGGAGAGCCTGGCAACTCAGCCACGGGGTTCCAGCCCCCGCTCCTCCCCTGGCCATCTGTGCAGCCTCGTAACCTGTGGGCGCATTTTGAGCCTCACCCCTCATTGGTGAAGCCTGATTGTTTATCCAGATCTGTGGGTGTCTGGGGAGCCCCTTCCGTGCCAGCTTCATACTGAGAGCACAGCCAGACGTGGTCCCGCCTTCGTGGCGCCTGCAGTCCGGTGGGCAGAACGGGCACTAGCCAGACTCACATGGTTTACTGTGAAGTGAGCCCTAGTGAGCTGAGGTGCCGAGCAGCCAGGCCTGGAGACATGGGAGCAGCCACCACCGTACCTTTGTGCGGGTTGGAAAAGGCCCCTCTTTCCTCCTCGCTGGGTGGGCCTCAGCTTCCCCATCCCTACAGCAGGCATGACAGTCACGCCCCCCCTTTCCTCCACCCTTATGCCCTGATGGTCAGACCATGGAAAACATCTGTGGGAGCAGGAGGGCAAAGTGACCAACAGCAAGGATTTGCAGTGGGAGATTCCAGCACTTCCTAGCCCTGTGACTCAGCCTCTCAAGCCGCACCCTCATGACCTGTGAGATGGAAAGCCTCATATCCTTGATGAATAGGTTCATAGGCTCCTCTACCAAGCACTTGGCAGCCAGTACCTGGCACTTTGGCGAGCCCTTGGTCACTTTCATTAACATTAAGACAGAGTGGTGGGCTGGGCTCGGTGTTTCATGCCTGTAATTCCACCACTTTCGGAGGCCAAGGCAAGAGGATCATTTGAACCCAGGAGTTGGAGGATGCAGTGAGCTGTGATTGCGCCACTGCACTCCAGCCTGGGTGATAGAGTGAGACTCTGACTCTTAAGAAAAAGACAGGCTAGGGGAACAGAAACTGAGTCTGCTAAGGCCCTATGGGCCCCCCAGACCAGCCAGAGACTAACTTGCCACCCCCTCTGTTTGCCTTTCCCTAGGAGAGCTCTGACGCCTTCCTCTTGGCTGCAGACACAGACTGGAAGGTAGGTCAAGGCTCAGACCCCCGAGATGTGGGACTGACAGCTGGCCGGCCCCTGGCCTCATCTGGCCAGGTCCCAGAGGAGGGTCACAGCCCTCTGTGTGCCCCCAGCCTGTAGCAGTCGCCAGGACCACCCCCAGGGCTCACAGCGGCCCTGCCTGCCCCCTGCCTAACAGAGAGATGCTGAGACTGGAGATGAACTGACCCTTCTGTGAGCAGCAGGGAAGAGAGGGTGTCTCTGGGGGGAGTGAGGATGGACAAGGGAGTGATGGATGTTGTCATCTGAATCAGCATTTTCCTCCAATGAAAGGCAGGTTGACTTTAAAATAGCTCCCGTTTCCATGACAGCTGTTGCCAGGACAACCCTGTCCTCTTTAGTGGATGCCAGGTTCTCCGTGAAAACTGAAAGCGCCCTTTGTTTTTATTCCTCCGAGTGATGATATTGCTTACTCGGCCAGTCATTTCTCCCCTCTGAGTCCCATAGTGACCACTGATTTCTGGGTCTCGGAAAATGTCTGACAGCAGACACGAGGGAGCCCAGCTGGGTTCTGAGGCCCCACTGGCCATCCCCGCATGCCAAACCAGTTTAGACCCTTCCTCCTGGCAAGGTGGAACCAGCCCCCAGGCCACTGTCCTTGCCTGGACCTGACCTGGTTTTGGGTCAGCCTCCAAGCCCCGTGACAGCACCAGCCGCGTGGTCTGGACGCAGGGTGACACAGAGGCGGGGCTGCCCATCGGCTCCTCCCCCCAGCGGGAGCAATGTGAGGTTCAGTGTGAGAATCTGGGCCTGTGTGCTCGTCCCTGTCCCTCGGTCACGCGCCACTCCAAGGACAAGAGGGGAGGCTTCAGGGCAGCCAGTGTAGGTGTGCTCAGATCCCCCGGGAGTGCTATCTCCAAGCACAAAGGGCTCTGGAGCTGGGAGGAGAGGCTGGGGTTCTGGCAGTGGGGAATGAGTGAGAGCCCAGGAAAAGGGATGGGAAGGAAGTAGCCGGGAGCCGGCCCAGGCTGACGGACGGAGATCAGAGCGGGATCACCAGGGGATTTTCCTTGACCCCCATGCTACAGATGAGGATGGCCTATGCAGGCAAACGGGCCCTGGAGGAAGGGGTTGGCCAAGTAAAATCCCATTGCAGCCAGCCAGTGCCTCAACACACTGGTCCCATGGTGTGGGAGGCCAATGCTGACAGTGCTGATGCCAGCCCCAGCACACAGGCCCAAGACGTGGGGAATGGGCAGAGGGGAATCCTAGTCGTGGAGGAGACCCCGCCACGCCTCTGGGTACCCAGCTGCTGCTGTGAAGCTGCCTCTGCCCACTGAGCCCTCTGAGCTGCAGCCCTGGAGTTGGGGGCCCAGACTGTGTGGGACCCCGGTTCCCAGAATCCTCTACTTGGTAAAAGGCAGGTTGTATTCAAAGTCACCTTCCTGTCCACTCTTGTCACGCCACACGGAGGCAGCGTTTCTTTTGTTTTTTGTTTTAGAAAAGCGGCCACAAGAATGGATGGCTGTTATCTGGACCAAGGCCTGGCAGGGATTTTACCCCTTGCTCACCATGGCAGGTGTTGTCACTGTCCCCTGCCTTAGTGGGGACAGCCAGTGGGGGAGACAGCATGGCAGAGGGACTAATATGAGCCAGACAGACCTAGGTCCTGGCCCCGCCCCTTCCACGCACGTGACCTCAAGCCCAAGTCACTCCACTCGGCCACCCCATTTTCATGGAGACAGGCAGAACGGACATCCCGAGTGTGTCTAAGGCGATGGTGCCCATGGGCCCCTCACACGGATACTCGGCTGACCGTGACAAGTGGCCACCAGAGCATGGAGTCGGTGCCAAACTGCCTGAGTGTGGTTCCTGGCTCCGTGCCCACTAGCTGTGTGACATTGGGCATGTTACCAGACCTCTCTGTGCCTTACTTGCCTCATTGTAAAGAGAGCATTAAGAGGATAAAATGAGTGCTTGCCCCAGCAGCACAGACCAAAATTGGAAGATACAGAGAAGATGAGTATGACCTCCGCACAAGAATGACCCACAGATTTGTGACGCCTTCCATGCTTAAAATAAAAAAATATTTTCTAAAAAGAGGATAAAGGCTTGGCATGGTGACTTATGCCTGTAATCCCAGCTACTTGGGAGGCTGATGCAGGAAAATGGCTTGAACCTGGGAGGTGGAGGCTGCAGTGAGCAGAGACTGCACCTGGGCAACAGCAAGACCCTGCCTCAAAAAAAAAAAGGGGGGGGATAAAGTGAGATAATGGGCATAAAAGGCTTGAAGAAAGCCTGGCACATGGGAACATTTGAACATAAGTGCTCGCCACTCTTGATTCTGAGACCGCAGGCCCACCCAGGGTGCTGAGCTGCTAGTAACCACCGCTGTGGACCAGCCAAGTGAGGAAACTGCCCGATCTCCCCGTGCCTCAGTTTCCTCATCCCTTTTCACAAATCTATAAGGATTATGTGTATTATCCTTGCAAATGCCTGTGCAGTAGGCACTGCTGTTTCTCCCATTTACATATGGAGGCTCAGAAAGGTTGACTGACTTGCCCAAGGTCACACAGCAAAGAAGTGGCAAAGCAATGAGTGGCACCAGGGTTTGGCTGGCAAGACCTGAGCCTACCTTTTCTGGCCACTATAACTACAACCACCAGAAAAGGGGCCAACAGTTTGGAGAGGCACACAGACTGCCCCATTTCTCCCCTGCCAGGACCTGGGCAAGGTTGGGGTCAGATCGGGAATGATTTATGCAGTTTTTTTCTGATTCTCACAGCAACTTGGTGAGAAAGGCACAGTCCCTGCTTTACACTTAGAAGCCCTGAGGCACAGAGAGTTTTAAAAAAATCTTGCCCCAGGTCACCCAGCTGGTAGGGGGCCAGGAGGGACGTAAACCCAGATCTGTGGGTTCGTAGGTGGGGAGCTGAGCAGTCATGGAGGCTGTGGCTTGGAATGGGCAGTGTCGCAGTTTAGCTTGTCACCTAGATCCGGAGGTGAAGAGAGGTCACTCAGGAGTCAGAAGTTGGAGTGGGGATAGGATTTGGTGAGGCCTTGGGGGCATGGGAAGGCTTTGTGGGCAGAGCAGAGGGCAGAGCTGGGCCTCAGTTTTCCAAGCCTCTTCCTATGCCACAGTGGCTGCAAGAATGGGGAGCATGGCCAGGGGGTGAGGGGCTAGGGGGACTCCCCATTCCACTTCTCTGCTACACTAGGGAGCACAGGGCCTGTCGGTCTGCCCTGGGCCTCCAGAGTGAGAGGTGAGAGATGGAGTAGGTACCCCCAGGCAGACGACTTGGCCATGAATAGTGTATATAGCAGGTGTTGACCAGGTCACCAGGTACCCAGAGATGAGGAGATGACCACCTCCTCCAGTGTTAGCCAGCCAGCGTGCAGGGCTGTCAGCGTGGGTGGGGGTGAGTGGCATGTTCCTTCAACATGGCACAATGGGAGCACGGGCACGCAGCACCCCCTTCTCTATCTGGCTCCTGCTCTCCCAGCCGTGGGCCCCCTCCTCTGCTCCCCTCCCACGCCTGTTTCCTCTCTCCCTGTATGCTGCTTGGCCTGCCTTCTCGTCTGCTCACTCCACCTGCAGGCCTCGGGCGAGCTCCAGATCCTTGCTGCTCAGGAGGACAGGGCACAGAGCCTGAGCTGGCCCTAGTGCCCTGCTCCCCAGAGACCTGAAAGCCAAGCCCCAAACTGGTTGCCTGCAGGCATAAGGGCTGGGTGGGTCTACAAGAGGTGGGTGTGTCAATGTTGGCAAGCCGCCTCCTATCCCGCTTCCTCTCCCTAGTGGCCTCAAGCCCCTGATAGCAGGATGAGGGTGAGGAGGGCAGAGCTGGTGTTTGCCCGGCCATATCCCTGGCCCTGCCATCTGCCCAGGGCCCCTGGCCCCCAAACTCTACTTTCAGGACTGTGGGGAAGCCCCCTGCCTCTGTGTGGGCAAGGTGGGAGCTCCCCAGGGGGAGAAAATCCTTGGTGGGTAGAGAAGGAGCAGCCCCTTGAAGCAGGGTGATAATCCAGATTGCCCCAAAAAGCAGCAGCTCCCCAGGCCTCCTCAAGGTTAAGCGATGGGGCCTTCCTGATGGAGAGGCTGGGCCTGGGGGTCTGGTCCCCAAGATGCTGGGCTTGGGGCTCTACCAGGCCCTCCGTATTCCCCAAGGTGTGGGTCAAGGTCTCTGCCTGTCTGGGCGGTGCCTGTGCACCGTGCCCTGCCCCACGTTGGTGAGCTGTGCATGTCCGTGAGGCCCCTGTGTGCACCTGACACGGGTGGGTGTGTGCGTGTGGCCTCGGGTCCTGTATTCTGAGGATCCCATGTGAGGTGCAGCTGTTGGCTGCGCCTGTGTGTTGGGGGCAGATGCAGGGGCTGGGGACCAGCAAGGATGATGTGTGGCTGGGGTGGGAGGAGCAGTGGCAGGGCTGGGGCCAGGAGGACCTCAGAAGCCAATTGGAGCCAGGCTTGTCTCCCAGCAACCAATCTGGGAGCCGCGGCTCCCGGTAAGCGAGTGGCTGCTCAGAAATCCTGCGGGGAGGAGGGGCCGGCTAGGCTGGGCTGGGATCCTGGTATAAATGGCCCAGGAGTTGTGCCCCATCACAGAGCCGACCGTCTCCCACTCGAGCTGCCCCCTCCCTCTGGACCCGAGTGACTCAGGCCTTTGTTTGTCCTTCCCCGTCGAGGCGGGTTCCCTCCCTCGGCAAGATGCCGGAGTGCTGGGATGGGGTGAGTGAGGGCTCTGCGGGCCGCGAGGTGGGCCGGGAGGATGGGGCATCCTTATGACCCACCGCAGGGAGCAAGCGCCCCCCCTCAGGCCACATCTGGTGGCAGCCCTGCCTTCATTCGCCTCACCCTGGGATCATTGAGACACAGTCAGAGGGCTGCAGGGTCCCTGGTGCCCCTGTTTGCAGGAGCGGTTGGGGGCAGCTGCTAGTCAGAGCCCATGGCAGGGGCTGGGAGGAGCCTGTGGATGGGGGGTGGGTGACATCTCTGCAGGAAATGGAACGGGGAAGGCACGGTCTGACTTGGCTGCATTGCTCCTGTGGACCCGTGCGCCAGTGCCTGCACGTCCCACTGACCATGTGCCCTCTGGTGTGCGCTTGGATGGTGCCTGCCTGGGTGGTGCCTGGGGCCATCAGGCCGGGGGCGGGGGTGTCCTTGGTGCGCCCCCGAGGCTGTGCGCCCAGTGTGCGTGCGGGGTCTGTGCGTGCAGGGGCTGCCGTCCGAGTGGGCGGCCGTCTAGCTTGTTTGGAAGGCTGCGCCAGTGCCACGAGAAGGACAGGCAGCCTCTTCCTGAGGAGTCGCCTCCCAGTTCCCAGGGCTGTGCAGCGCCAGCCGGGCGGAGGCGAGGAGGTCTGGGCCACACCAGAATGGCAGCCTTCAGGCGGGGGTCCCTGCTGGGGAGGAGCAAGGAGGGGTTGCCTGCGTGCCTTATTTTGTAGGTGGGGGAAGGCAACGCTGGAGCCGTGAAGCTGGCAGGGCTAGGGGACCCCAGTTGGAGCCCAGGGCACCTCTTCTCGCCGGGGCATCAGGTACCCTGGCACCGTTCTTCCTCAGGAGGGAGCGGCAGGGGCAGACTTACTCCCACCCCCACCCCCGGGCCCCACACGCCTGCTGTGCCGGTTCCACAGACCAGGGGTCACCCCGCACGCACAGAGGCGACGACGTCAGCGCCTGCCCGCCCCTGCAGACCCTGTCCCCTGAATTATTGATGCGGCGGACAGGCCGAACCACAGCACCAACACCACCAGCTCCCACACAGGCGCAAAGCCCGGCTCGGAGCCCCCCTTCCCTGCAGTGCTCAAGGTCACAGGCGAGGGGAGACGGACAGGCCGAGAGGAGCCACCAGAGCCCCCTCCCAGGTTGCCGCAGTGCTTCCCGCCTGCGCCCACCTGGAGGCGGGGCCGGCTCTGACGTCACCCGGAGCCAATGGGAATGCGAGGCCCTGAGGGTTGGGGGCCTCAGAGGGCACCGCGCTGTGGCCCCCGGGGCGCTGTCCTTGCGCAGCGTTCCGAGGGACAGCGGGACGGGGTTGCTCGGCTTGGATCAGGCTGAACTGAGTCCTGAGCTCCCTGCAGAGGGTCAGAGGAGGCACTAGGGAGGTTGGCAGCAGGGTTCACCCAAGGTCACTGGGCTTCATAGGACAGGCAGCCCGGCGACGCCCAGGCCCAGCCCTTCCCATCCTGGGAGATGAGCCTTAGTAGGGCCGGCCCTGTGGCTGATCACATCACCTCGGGGGGATGGGGACCAGGGCTGAGGGGAGACAGTCGGGGCCTGCTCAGCAGAGGAGGGCAGACACCCCTCACGCCCCCACGCTTCGTGTCTGTGTTTGGAAGGCACTGCCCCGGGCGCTTGACTTCTGATCCCAGGAGGATAACTGTCCTTTATGCAGCAGAAAGCGCATTGCAGCTGTTTTGCAGCCCCACCCTCCAGAGCCCAGAGAACCCACAGGTGGCTGTGAAGGGGCTGGCTGGTCAGGAGCTCCCTCGGGTGGAAACTGATCTCCTCTGAACATACAGCCTCAGTGCACCACCCTGGCCCCGAGAGTGGCACCTGGCAGGGCTTGCTCTCCCTACTCAGGGGTTGACCTTGGGCCTGTCATTCCCCTTTCCCAGCCTCAATTTCCTCCTCTATGGCCTGGGTCCATGTGGGGAGTAAATGAGAGAAGTGTGGGCCAGCGGTCAGGGACTGGGAAGTGTCCCTGGATTTTATGCCTCCGAGGAAGGACAGACCTGGGATGGGAGGGGCTGTGTGGTCTGTCCCCTCAGCCCCGGTGTGGCCTCCTCACCCCCTGGGTGGTGCAATCAGCCACATGGCTCACCCTAAGGCTCATTACCTGGGCCCTCCTGGAGGCCAACAGGGAAATAAACAGGGGCCCCCAAGCCAAGCTGTGGCCCCCAGGGTGGATGGAGCCTTTGGCCACCAGGTTGGTGCCAGTTGTCACTCTGAACTGGAGACACAGGCCTGGACAGTGGTCCTCTGAGACCAGACCCACTAAGGCTGGTGCCTGAGCAGCTGTCTCCTGCTCCCTGTGTCTTCTTTCCCATTTGAAAGCAGGAACTTAACATTTGTTCTTAACC